CTTAGGAAATATTTCTATTTTACCTTCAGAATAAAACTTTTTATCAAATTTGTAAAGTGATTGTATCAAACCATGAATACAATTTTTAATAAAATCATTATCTGCAAATTTAATCTTGTGTTCTTTATAATTTCTAGAAATTAATTTTGCTAAAGGTTTCATAGAATTAATTACATTTGAAGGTGTTAATAACAATTCATTATCATAATCTACATCTTTAATATCACCAATCCCTACAAGTATTTTATTCTCTTTGACAAATAATTCACCTTCCTGTCCAGTAGGGTTGAATTCATTAAAAAGATCTTTACTACCAGAAATTTGAATAAAATTATCTTCTAATGTACCAGCTAAGAACACTTCAATTGTGTTTTTAACATCAGTTGTTTTAAGATTTTCCTCTATTAATTTAAGATCGTATACGGACATTTTATGGGTAAAAAAAATAATTAATTTAATAAAAAATTAATTATTTTTATAATTAATAATCACTTCTTTAATGTGTTAAAATTTTAATTTAAAAAGAAATATTTGTTTGTTAAAAGAAACAAAATATTTTCTATTTATAATTAATAGTTAACTAAATAGAATTATTAATTATTTAAAAAAGTAATTTAATTCAAATGAAAAACAAACTCTTTTGATTTTTTAATTAAAATTTTTTATAAAAAAATTAAAATGAATAGATGGTACATTGAAAATTATTTAGGTTTCGCTAAACCATTTTTAATTAAGAATTTTACTAAGAAAAGATTCTTGATAAAACAAATGAAAATTAATGAGAACGTGTGTTCTATGTTTGAATTTTTAGGAATAGAAGATAACACATCTTTTTATACAATCAGAGGTTATATTAAGAGAGACAATATAATTCTACCATTTAATAACTTAAAGGAGAATAACAAACTATATTTTTTTAATTGTTTTGATGAAGTACACTTGTTTATATTTCTTACCAGTGAGAGAGAAAGATTGTACACTGTTAAATTTAATTGTTGTAATGATGTAAACTTAACTGAAATTTACGCTACAGAAATAGGATTGTTGTGTGATGATAATCAGGCAATTATAGTTGGTGAAGATAGAATTAAAATCAAATGTAAAGTAACAAATTTAAGAGGTAATAATTATCATTACAATTATGTTGGATTAACTGAAAAGAAAAAAGAATTGTTTACTATCAAAGTAAATAACAGAAACTATACAATGACAGAGTATAAATGTATATTTTGTCTAATAACAT